TCAGATCGCCAACCCGTGGGCCGCACGTCTGGCCGGGCCGGTGCGACACAGTGCGGGCTAATGACGACGACGGCGTCGGCGAAGGCGACGGCGACGGCGACGGCGACGGCGGCCGACGACAGCAGGATGGCAGAATGAGCAGGAGGAGGGGGGGCAGGATGGGCATGAGAAGAGGGAGAGAAGCAAGAGGAAGGGAGGTAGAGGAGGAGGAGGAGGAGAAAAATTGTTTGACATTCGCTTCGGGGTGGATCCGAGCAAGGCGAGCTGAATGAGCCAGCAACCCACTTTCGAGAGAAACTCGAAGCGCGGCAGACACAAATTCGGTTACACCGACCCTGGCTCAGGGGGGGGAGGAGGGGGAGGGAAGGAGGGAGATGACGCCTGATCCATTACCACCTACTTACCGAGAGCGCTGCCAGACCTCTGTATGGTCAGCTCACTTCCCAGTGATGCTCGCAAATTGGCTCCACCAATCCAGAAGACGAGGAGGAGGGAGGAGGAAGAGGAGGAGGAGGAGGAGAAAGGAACAAAAGACAAGAGAAGACCACCCTGGTTCTCAGGGCCAGGAGGGACTGGCGGATTGTTGTTCGACTGGGACATGTTGCGTTCCCGTCACCCCCACCACGTGACTCTCGATCCGACCCCTGGTGCCAGCCCCAGCCGACCCCTGGACGCCAACCTTCAGGTTTGGACTTTCTTGCACGGCGCGCCGTGGCTGGGCAAGCAAGGGGAGGGCGGCCACTTGCGCAGCTGCCCTCGGGTGCCAACCTCAGCAGGAGCTGCATGGAGGCCGGGACGAGAGGACGGGGAACGCTTGAGATCCTAGGACGCGTGGCAAGGCTTTGCCTGGCCTGTCCCGACGGTATTAGCACGGCCAACTGTGCCCTGTCAGACAAGGTGCCGTGATTATTCCATTGACTATGTGTCAACCCCCAGATGCTGCAATCTCCCCCACCCGTCCCATGAGTGCATGCTGCACCTGCGTGGCGCCAGACACGTTTAGGGCGGAGGAACGAGATGGGGGGAGGGCAGCTGCGCAACTCAACTCAAGACCGAGGAACACTAATGCCAGCGGGCGTCTCCGAAGCGCGACCGGCCTAGTCGAGGGTAGTGATTCGGGGCTCGCTGCCCAAACAGTGCTGGTCATGTAAACTCCCCCCTGTCTCCCTTCTGCCCCATACACGGCCTGCCTGGCCTGATGCGAGGAAGTGTAAATCGACATGCATGTTGCGGGTGTCACCGCACAGGATGGTGATCTAACCAGTGGCAACGTATCCCCAAACATATGATTCCAAACATATGCTTGGGATCCTTCGGAGGCCTTTACGCTGGAGCAGAGATGATTGATGGTATACTGCTCGCAGCACTGAGACATGTAAACTGCGAGTGTCCAGTCCTACTGGGTGCATGCCAGATAAAACAGTACACACTGCGATGTCCTCGTCGTCATGCCATGCGGCTGCCATCCACATGCATTGTTCTGCGGCTGAAGATGCAGCCCAAAACAGTATTACGGGAGTCTTTCCTGGGTTCACTCTGCAAGAACATACTCAGTCCTGCTGAATACATGCCGACTTATGATAATGAGGAAGCAACACTGGCTGTTGCAAGACTGTTCCCCTTCGCAAGGAAAAACTGCATTCAGCCAACCAAAAAAAGGAAATTGGCTACGATTGACTCCAGGCGCTCTTGCTGCGTGGTTTGGGATCGCTGCATAGATTAGGGTGTAATTATTGACCTATCTGTACTTCTTGAGCTAGTCGCTAGCTTTGTTCAACTGCTGTCTGAGCGTCTTAATGCGGTACGTCTGGAGACCCTGCTCTAAGACGGCGGAGTCTCACCTTTTGACTGAGAAGGCTGCTCGGGACGACATGTTGGGGAACGTTATCCTGAGGCTCCAAAGGGGCCCGCCTCTTCAGCTGCGCCCTGGAATACTCTGCTGGCGCTGGAGGCGGGGGCGATGGTGGAGCCGAATGTGTGCCGCCTGACTCGTCCGAATTGTCTCCTACATTCCAAGAGCCTCCGCATTTGAACTGAGGGTTGAACATCAGCCTTATTGCCCGGGTCCATGCACTGCATATGTTGCATACGAGATATAGCATATTGTTGTTATTGGAGCGCTGGACCTTTGAACTTGCCGTCGTCGCAGAACTTGCGGGTGATAGACCAACACTGGTGCCCTGATAACCCATAACTGACGCGTAAACTGACGCGACATGGCTAACGCCGCGAGCTCTGGGTTGCGCGTGGGAGGCTGGCTAAAATGTCGCATGCTGGCCCAGTCGAAGTCCTGATGATGATGATGCTGCTGATGATGATGATACTGGCGATGCTGATGATGAGAATGATAACGATGAGTAAGATGATGATGGTGATGCTGATGATGACGATGGCGAGGATGAGTATGATGGTGTTGATGATGGTGATGATGGTGATGATGATGCTGATCATGGTGCTGATGATGAAGGTGCTGATGATGATGTTGTTAATGGTGCTGGAGCTGAGACAAATTATTCGAATGAGGAGTATGATAATAGTGGTGGTGGTAGTAGTGATGATGATGACGACGATGACGATGCTGATGATGATGATGTTGATGATAATGCTGATGATGATGATGATGATGATGATGATGATGATGATGGTCGTGGTGCTGGTGGTGCTGGTGGTGGTGATGGGGGAGGTGATGATGGTGATGCGCAGCATGGTGGTGATGATGGTGGGATGGTGATGATGATGGTGAGAATGATCAGCAATGCTGCTGATGGTGATGGTGATGATGATGGTGGTGGTAATAGTGATGATGATGATGATGATGATGATGATGATGATGATGGTGATGATGAGGAGGAGATGACAGCGACGGTGATGATGCTGATAGTGGGGGTGCTACTGTTCCTTCCTTTTCCTGCTCGGGGGGGTCCAGAGAGACCGAGAACCCCACTCAGGACATGAAGAAAGCATACACGTTCCGAATGCAAACACGTACAACATAATAATGTGTGAAATCATGTGTTAAAAACACTGGGAGGAAGGGAGGGACAATTTCAGCATGTAGCTGGGAAAGAGAAGAGGAACGTCCCACCAGCCCTTTGGGCTAAGGTGGTCTAACGAGTTCTTCCTGTCCTGTTCCAAAACCCTCACCCTTCGGGGAGGGGGGGTTCGGGGAGGGGGGCCCTCCCCCTCCCCCCCCTGAGGTGTTTGGGGGCGGGCCGCGAGGTGTCAGAGCGCCCAGGATGGCCCGAGATGGCTCCTAGAGGGTCTCCGATGCTCCGAGAGGGCCTCCAATGCTCCAAGAGGGCCTCCGATGCTGTCGGCGTGTGTGAGGGGCTTGTCCGCTCGAACCGTCGTCTCCGTCATTCGTTAGTCGTCTTCTCTGTCGTCCCCTTTCCCTGCGGCCCCCTTTTCCCCGGGCTCGTCGCCGCTCCTCCCCCCCCCCTTTTCCTGGGCCCTCCTCCTCGAGCGAAATGGAGCAACGTCGTAGTTCAGTCGAAGGCAAGCCCCTTCCCTTGAATCCCTCCCCCGTCCGGGGAGGGGGGGGGGGCCGGGCGGAGTCGCCACCCAGATGCGACTGCCCCAGGAGGAGTGTTCCAGGGGGGTTCGCCACCCAGATACGACTCCCCCCGGGGGGTCCCCGGTCCCAAAGAAGCCCAAGGACGGGCCGAGAGTGCCCGAAGAGGCCCTCAAGACGGTCCAAGAGGCCCCCGAATCGGCGAGCGATCTGTCCAAGACGACTTGGCCTTGACGGCCTCCAGACGGCCCATGAAATTGTTCTTGTATCGCCATCGCCCCCCCCCTGTAACGCTTGTCACGGGGGGTCCGCCGCGCTGCGATGTGCACAGGCGCCGTGCACAAGCGCTACGATGCACGCATGTCCTCCCCCCCGCCCAGACCGCAAACGTTACCGTTACCCCCCCCCTCCCGTAGCGGACGTTACAGGCCCAGAATTAAAAAGTGCTATCCATGCGGCCTGGAAGACGCCCCAAGAGGCCTCCAGGAGTATTCCCAAGAAGGCCCCAGAAGGCAAAATTCATTAAATTATCTTGGGTTTTTGATGAATTCTGGCGTTCTCGCCTCTTCCGCTTCCCGACGCTCCAAAACGGCCCAAGAGGCCCCCAAGATCGCCCCAGCTCCCAACGTGACCCAAGAGGGCCCCAAGACAGCCCTAGACGCCTCCAAGACAGGCCAAGAGGCACCCACGGTGGCTCCAAGAAGCTGCCCAGAAAGGGGACCCCAACGGACATTTCGAGCCCTCGCCCCTGAGAAGCCCCAAGAGGCACCAAGAGGCCCCAAGAGGCCCCTTCAGGAGGCCCCAAAAGGCCTCCAAGACGCCCCCAAGAAGCCCCCAGGAAGCTCATGAAGGCCCCCAAGAGGCTCCCAAGAGGCCCCACAAGAGTCTCCCAAAACGCCCCCAAACTGCCCACCCGAGGCCCCCGAAAGCGCTCCGAAGAGACCCCGACAGCATCCCCTCCTCCCCCTGCTCCTCACCATCCTCCTCCTGTTCCTCCGCCTCGTCTTCATCGTCCTCCACCTGCTCATTGCCCTCCTCGACCTCCTCCTGCCCCAACTCCCCCTCCCACTCCTCCTCCGTCCTCTGTCCTCCGTCCGCCGTCCTCCGTCCTCCGTCCTCTGTCCGCCGTCCGCCGTCCTCCGTCCTCCGTCCTCCATTCTCCTCCATTCCTCCTCCTCCTCCTCCTCCTCCTCCTCCTCCTCCTCCTCATCATCATCATCATCATCATCATCATTATCATCATCATCATCATCATCATTATCTTCATCATCATCATCATCATCATCATCATCATCATCATCATCATCAGCATCAGCATCATCATCATCACCACCACCACCACCACCATCATCATCATCATCACCATCATCATCAAAGGCCGCCGCGCGCTCAGGCCATTGATGGAGCAGCGGCCTCCAGTCACCACCCCCTTGCCATGCCCAAAAGGCAGGGGGCCGCTTGACGACACCCCGCACACCGCCAGGCCGCCATGGCCGTGCTCCGGAGCGCGGGCGCCGCGCACCTGCTGAGCACAGGACTCGCTAAGCTGACCCTGAACTACTGGACGCTGAGCTCCAACTTCAACATCATCACGAACACAGAGGGCCAGCACAGGCACACCACGCGGCCCATGAATTGCCACAAGTGGAAAGATTGCACGCTGAACGTGACTGGCCACATGGACTACCCCACCCAGATTGCGAAGGACTACTGGACACTGAAAATCAACTCCAACATCATCACGAACATAGAGGGCCAGCACATGCAGGATTACAACACGCTGACCCTGAACGACTGGACGCTGAACTTCAAATTCAACATCCTCACGAACACAGAGGGCCAGTACGTGCAGGACTGGACGCTGAGCTTCAAGTTCAACATCTTCACGAACACAGAGGGCCAGCACAGGCAGGACTACGACACGCTGACCCCGAACTACTGGACGCTGAGCTTCAATTTCAACATCCTCACGAACACAGAGGGCCAACACATGCAGAACTACACCACGCGGCCCCTGAATTGCCACCAGTGGAACGATTGCACGCTGAACGTGACTTGCCACATGCTGCTTCAGACGACGCACGCGGGCGCCGCCGAGCTTCATCGAGGCCAGCTCCGCTCTCGACTCACTGCTGCGTATTCCCCACCGCGGCCGAACGGAGCAGGTCATTACCAACACTGGAAAGCAGGATGCCGCCGACCATGGAGCTGGGTACCGCAGGCACATACCGACATCCCAATTCGCGTCATGCCCATCCTGTTCACGGACCTCAACCAAGGGCCAGGACGACGATCACGACAGCGCCGCACCGACAACGCAATCGGCAGCTACCAACCCAGCGACGAGACCGAGCTCGGACGCTTGATTCACGACAAGTTCCTGACGCACCAGCTGACAGCCATCAACATGCACATCGACGTCGGCAATACCTACTACGGGCACAACAAAGCCAGATCAAGCATCAACTACTTCATCGGCCACGACAACTTCATGGAAATCGTGAAGCACGTGAAGCTGAATTGGAAGATCCACACCAAGCTAAGTAGCCTACTACATGTTGCCGACCACATCCCCATGATTATGCAGATCAAGATGCCTGTCAGCGGCGCCAACATCACGAACAACAACATCCGCTGGGACTGTGGCCTACTTGCTGCTGGGCTCCAGACGGGCGCCCACCGTGCGTCTTCTCTCAACGACGCCTACGCCGAGATTAGCAAACACAAGGAGGCCCTCCGAGTTGTCAAGATGGATCAGTGGGCTCCCCCCGAGGCCAGCGTGAGCACCTCTTCCCTCCTCTCGGCGACAACGCACGACGGGACGGACACCGACGACGAGACAAACCCCACCTTCGAGTGCAACATCGGGTCGTGCCAGAAACGGATTACCACGCGCTCGGCCACTCCAAGTGCTCCCCCGCCGCGCCCTGCGCCATCCAGATGCCGTCCCTCGCCCGCCATCGAGGACACCCCTGATGTAAGCGCGTCCAACTGCCAGTCGGTGGAACACATCGCGGGCAGCGACCTACGCAGCAGACCTAGACATCGACCACTTCGACGGCTACAAGCAGCACAGCGCCCAGCAGCAGTATGTGTAGCGCCCACGCGGGCGATCCGAGTGGCTAATGTTTCCTCTACGCCTACTCTCCCTGGACAGGGGGACGACGCCCAAGCGGAGAGCGTCGTGGCGACTCCCACTGGACCCCTCCCAGGGCTCGAAGGGCTCGGGCACCGCTACGACGACACCAAGCAGAAGCTGGTGATCGGCGCGCCCATGTGGGAGGGCCAGGCGGTCCACCACCGAGGCGTGGCCCCAGTGGGCTGGCCCGAGGAGGAGGTAGGCCACTGGCTAGAGACGCTCGAGCAGTGAACCCGCCTTTTTTTTTGCCAGAGCGAGCCTGTCTTTCTGCCAGAGCGAGCCTGCCACAGCGCAGAGGAGGCGAGTCCACGCCGTGTCAATGTTTGTTCGAGGCTAAAGCCTCCCTGCCAGTAGCAGCACGGTCACGGTCACATCCCGCCCTCCTCTGTCGTGCATCCCCCCCCCCTGCCGTGCCAGCACATGCAGAGGAGCTGCGTGAGGTGGAGGCCTCACCCCACCTGAGTTCAATTGCCGAAGACGAAGCGGCCAATATTATTCAGCTAGCATTTCGACGCTGCTAGGCACGCGCTGCGCAGGAGGCCCCTAAAGCCTCCCTGCCAGTAGCAGCACGGTCACGGTCACATCCCGCCCTCCTCTGTCGTGCATCCCCCCCCCCTGCCGTGCCAGCACATGCAGAGGAGCTGCGTGAGGTGGAGGCCTCACCCCACCTGAGTTCAATTGCCGAAGACGAAGCGGCCAATATTATTCAGCTAGCATTTCGACGCTGCTAGGCACGCGCTGCGCAGGAGGCCCCTCCGAGCAGCACCCTGGCAGCCTGGCCCAAGCGGGGCAACACGAGACAGTCGGCTCTCTGCGACGGATCTCTCAAGTCTGGTTTCAGTGTATACCATATTTTGATATCAGATGTTGGTCCTGACGTCGAGGAAAAATCATCATCATCATCATCATCATCATCATCATCATCATCATCATCATCATCATCATCATCATCATCATCATCATCATCATCATCATCCTTCATCCTCCTCCTTCTCA